TTTTTTAAAGTAACGAGTCTAATTTTGCAAATGTAGCGGAGTAAAAGTACCGTTTTTCTTCACAAATGTACTCAAGTAAAAGTAAAAAGGTACTTTAAAAGTACTTTTTTTCATTAAATGTAACGGAGTAAAGGTAACTCGTTACTACCCACCTCTGGTTACACCACACACAGATTAGCTGCTCTGTTCTGCCTACTGAGAAACAGTGTTGCCAACTCCTCAGTAAGAAACATCACTATTGGCTGTCCTAAAAGTAGTGAGAAGTTGCTACTTTTAGAAGTTGTTTTAGATAAAAAGTAGTTAAGGGTGTCGGACAGCAACAAAGTCCCTAAATTGGCAACACTGCTGAGAAACTGGACACTGGATCATTTGCATACTTAAAGTGATTGGATGTTTAGCTGAGGGGAGGGTGAGTGTGTGAGCCTGCACACAACAGAGGAAAAGAGCAAACAAGACTTAAACCCGATCATCTCATTTGTACATTTCCCGGCAGATTTTTTCAGCTACTGTAGTAAATCTTGTCCAAAATCAGTTTGTGGATAATCTGTTTTTTTTTCTCAACTTCCAAAAGTTTGACTTAAGGGGGCAGGAAGTTTGTTTAAGGGGGCATTGCCCCCTCTTGCCCCAGTGTAGAGCAGGCCCAATTTATGTATTTGTTTAAAAAATGTCTCCAATTTAGGACGATGAACCTTCAGATGAAAAAAAATGTAAAAATCATCATGAATCAAAAATCATGAATTCCAAGAGTTTCATTGACTGAGTGAAATGTACAAGCCGGTTTTTCACATCCCCGCCGAGTCGCTTTGGTTGTGCAGGTGTAAACATGCATCGTACCACAGCTCAACCTCTGGACAACGCCCATGTGACAGGTGACAGCTTTCTCCATGGAAGCATCTGAAGAACAGATATGAAAATGTGACATGAGGTGAGCTCTGTAATGATAAACTGGATCTTGCACCAGATGCTGTTTACCTGCTCCGCTGAGCAAACAGGTCGCTGCCAGCACTGAAAACAAACGTCAGTGTTTTATTCATTGAGCAAGAGAAAAGATTTAAATGAAAATGATTTGATCATCTTTTTGAAAAAGCAGAACAAACATGCGTGTTGTATATTAATATTAAGGCTTTGATGTTTTACCTTTTTTCCTGCGTCTGTAACTGAAATAAAATTATTTTCACAATAATGTTGCTTCACCCTCACATTGTTATCTACTACCATTCTGTGAGGTATCTAAGTCACACCTTTAGCAGCGAGTGTCACATGTGTCATAAAATCACAGCCTCATCCAAGTGTCTGTCGCCTTTCATGTTAACCATAAAGTGTGCTCAGCATTTCACTTCAGCTCAGAGATCGCTGCTTACAGCCTCGCAGAGCTGTCAACAAGTGATACATCTGGACTCATCCAACATCCAGAAAACCCACATACATATAAAATAATATTCAGAAACAAACATTTTAGAATTCAGTCATTAAACATAAATACAGAAAATCATTCGTGTACTCACACAGAGTCCAGCTGAGCCTTACACGGAGCATGGTGCCAGTGCTGGTGAATACTGGTGCTGTTGGTACCCGACTCAAACACACCTCTATTTATTCAGTTTGATAAGGAACTTTTAAACAGTAGTTTGACCCTGTTGGATCCTACCCAGACGCATTAACTGGAAACTCAATTTAAAGCAAGAATCTATGATTAGTGGGTGCAAAAGATGATAAAACGGAACAACGTCCAGTGTGTGCTCCAAGGCTCTCAAAAGGAAGGAGACCAGAATTTATCATACACTTAAAAGTTGTTTTCAAAGAATGTCAGTGTTCATGTGAGTGACCTTTAAACGTGCTTGTAGACGGACTTTAGGACTTTGAGGACGCATAGGAAGAGACGCTATGCCAGTAAATGTTTACTTGGCAAACCGTCACATGCGGCCGCCCCTCCCTGAGCCTGGTTCTGCCAGAGATTTCTTGTTTTTATTTCTAACCGTCTTAGGGGGTTAGTGTTGTGAAGTTTAGGATGTGATTAGGTTGGGGGTGGAGTTGGGGGGTTAGGGTTTGGTGTGTTGTGTGATGATCCGATCATGCTGGCCTACATCCCTTACAAGGGATCACGCTCAGACTATTTTTCTCATTGTTGCAGGAGACAGGTCCTGCTGCACAGCAGGCCAACAGCAGTCCAGGCTCCACACGGACAGAACAGGTTTATATAGGCCGGTCCTGCATATATTTACCCTCTCTGTGCCTGGATTCACTTCAGCAAATGTAAAAATTTTGCAGCTTTTTAGTTTAGAAACATTTTCTTTCATATGCAGGTTTCCTTCAAACACCTTCAAACACAGAAATGATACAGAACTAAAGTAAACTGGAAAATATAAACTAACCTTAACAAAGAAACACAGCATGAGGGACGATGCGACATGGAGCAGAGGGAGACTCTGACATAAATACACCGCAGGTAATGAGGGAAGTGTAAGCACACAAGGAACACAGCTGAGGACAATTACACTCGACAGCACGGGGAGGACACACAACTGCAGGAAGTGACTGAGACAGCCTGGAGAGAGAGAGGGAGAACATGAAGGGTAAATGAAGGGAAGAGGAAAACATGGAACACAAGGAGTGGGAGCAAAGCACAGTAACTCACATCACTATATAGACAGTCACACAGTGGGAGACACAGAAGGCAACAACACAGGGAGAACATCTAATAAACAACACTGTACAGAACAACCTGGAGTCCTCAACATAATGCAAAATATGACAGAAAACACAGGGAACTTAAACCGCTGAGTCAAAATGACCCAGGACCATGACAGTTACCCTTTTTATACTTCAATGATAAAACAATATTGGTCATTGTAAAAGTACAATTTCAAAAAACAAAAACCAAAAGATCAGTAAATAAAATGAGGCCACTTGGCTTCAGTTCTCTGACAGAAACAAAGCAGGATAGTCAGAAAACTGTGAACAAGATGTGTGCAACACCACAAAGTGTTGTGTTCTTTTTTTGATCATTTTATGTTAGATTATGAAAATATAAAACAAAAACAAACCCCCTCAATAAACAAAAACAAACAGGCTCAGATGCATCACAGAAAAAACAATTCAAATAAACAGGCACTTCACAAAACACCACAGGGTAGAATACCAAATGCTGGAGTCTATGAGAGTTTACAAATCTGGCCTTCGGTTCCACACATTCAGAGGAGAATCCTTTGAGTCTTTGCTGAACTTTTCCATTTGTATTATGGACATCGTATCTGTTACCCTTAACTGAAAGGAAGGA